ACTATTAAAAGAGGAAGCAAAGAAGCTGTATCCTAAATTGTAACTCTGTTGAATGTTATTTGTGGCTTTCATTGGCAAAATTTTTGTCCCTTTACTAGATAATTCTAAAAAAACATATACAAGATCATCAGTATCATTAAATAGATATAAAAAAATGTCAAATGTCAAAAAATAAATGTCAAAATTTTTTGAAAGAATTTTTTTAACATTTTTTTCGTGTTCCTGGTATCTTACCTTACTTGAAAATTTTCTCTGGGGCGCGAGTTCTGGCGCACCTGTATAGTACACAATTTAGCAGTTAAGTCTTCCACGATTTTCAATGGAATTGATTTGGCGTTTTCTCCTTTATTATTTTCTCGTTTTTCTCTTAATTTTACGGTCTCATGAGACCAATACTAGTGCTCGCAATATAACTCTACCAAGCGACTAGCTTGACTAGCACACTTGCATAAAAAATAATTAATTCGATCTCACAAAATTTAACACCTCATAAATAATTAAAAAAGAATATTGTTTTTGTGTTGTTTGCATAAATTCATCACATTTAACTTTATTTTTATGGACTTAAATTGTAAAAATGGTGTTTTAGCCCAAATTTATTGTTCAATCAATTCAAATTATAATTAATTTAATTGAAATATTAGCGTCTAACGTGTGGTATTATGACTAGTATCACGAGCTATCATTTAATCTATCTAAGTTCTATTTGATGTTCTAGCTATAGCTGCAGGCGTGTAATCGTATTTGATCTCCCTATAATAGCTTATAAATAATAAAAATAGCATCAATTTTTAATAAATCAATTACGAACAGGTAATTTATTAAATTTAAGTTACAAAAAAATCTAAATGTAAAAAAAACTAAAACATTGATATGACTTCCTGTTTGTAAACGCTGTCTTTCGTTAATTAATTATGCTCTCATATAATTTAACATTGTAATTAAAATCTTTAATCTCATTTATTTCTCTCAACACAATCAGCTTTCGTTTAAACTTCGTTAAATTGTTAATTATTGCGCTACTTTGATCACAAACGATCATAAAAGTATCGACGTTCACACAGTTCCAAGTTTTACCAAAGAATTCTATTTTGCTCGGTGGTGCAGTTTAATTATTTAGAGGCAGTTTTTGTTCAATGTTTAACCTGATTAAAACTAATTGCAAAGACGATGAAATACTGTCAGAATAACGTATTAATAATTCGACTTATTAAATATTGATTGCTTTCCATATCTACCTATCCTCAATGAATAATCAGAGAATATTTGCTTTTTGCTTTCAAAGCTCATGAATTAATAACAGTTTCAACAGCAAACCAAAAACATCGCTGCGGGGTAAGTCACCTGTCACGACGACTCGAATGCAGATTTGGAACTCCTCATTTTGACGTTATCTGTTTTAAAGCAAAATTGCCGGGAAGTTGGTTTTTGTCACGATGAGTTTAAAACAAAAAATTGGAAAATTGCCCACATCAACCCGTTATTGTAGTTGTTTTAAATTTCGTTTTGTATTTATGATCTCCAATGCATGGGCGCCGACTTTTCATATTTTCAATGGGTGCATAAACAAAAAACTTTGTAAATTAATCGTCTTTAAACCAATACAAATAACATAAAAAGTTTCTATTCAGTTCTTCTATACTTATGTTGGTATAACTTGCAGGTCTTGAGAACAATTACGCGAAAAAACGATTTCTTCTTCCCAATTTCTGCTGAATTTAATGTATTTGATATTTAAAAGATTTAAAAACAATATAACTTTTTTATAGGAAAAACCAATAAATAACAGTAAAAAACACAAAAGTGGTTAATGTATGTAGGTAAGTATACTGGGTGTTTCCAGTTTTAGAGTTGAAAATTCACCTAGTAATAGAAGAGTACAGGAATACTGTAACCGATTATTGTTATTATTAAGAATGTTATTTAACTTCAAAATATTGGTACACGGTTTGAGGGTTACTGGAATTATTTTCTTGTTCAGATAAAATTGTATTGTTGTAACAAATAAAAAATTCGTATCCATGACAATGAAAGAGAAAAGTCACTTCATAGTTTTAACACTGTCATCATTTGTTTTGCTTTTGCTTTAGTTTTTATCAAAATGAAAATCAAAAGTTTTTATCAAAATTCGAAGATCTTCCAGCAAAATGGTTTCCAATAGGTTTGATTCGTTTTTATTATTGTTTTTCCAAATTTATGAACATGGATGGCAAAAAATATTAAAATAATAAATTGGTTGTCGTGGTTATGATTCACGGTGAAACACAAGGTAATGATTCTAATGGCCATTGTTGCAGCGGAAGCAGCAGTTCTCAAACACATAATATAAAATGAATTATTTCTTTTCACAACATGAATTTTTGTTTTGTATAGCGTATTAATTTTCTTCTACCGTGAATATCATCTCGTTAGAATTTCAACTTCATACCCTGTATTTACAATAAAAAGTGTAAAAACAATAGTAAATGTTACACTACTGTTAAAGAAAAAAAAATGACTTTTTTTGAAAATCTGCACGAATGTTTGTGTTGAAAACAGCAATTAATTGACGAGATGTGTAAAATTAGGGTATGCAAAAACTGAATGGTCTCAAAAATTGTTTCTTGGATTTTTACAAATTTTCAAAAATAAAAAAAAAAACATTTTTTTTAGATTTACCACGTTAAATTGTGAAAAAGTTAAAAAAAACTTTGATCAATCGGTCCGAGAAAGCAGTTTAATGAATTGATTTAAAAATTTACAGAGCTATTGGGCGTACACTTAACTGTAAAAAGACTTGGACACATTAGTCTCCCTATCAATATTTGTGACTATTCAATTCACCTCTCTTTTTTTAAATATTAACCAATAAAATAGCAGAGAGTTACTTTCTTATCCTAACAACATCAAATTCCAGCGAATATTTCACTCGTGGTAAAATATAACTGGATATTCAACTTTGCTATGACAACGAAATCATGTGTAACGCAAATTTGACATTTGGTTCATTGAATAGTCTGTTGAATACCATTCGTAGTCAAAGATTATATAATATTTTTATTCATGGTCATTACGCTTGCGAATACCATTCGTGCTACGCACTCGTGGTATTCATAACTAAATACCCCGAAACAACAAAAAAAAAAAAATCTCTTGTAAGAAATTTGTTCTAGTTTTTGAAACTATCCTTACATTCTCTGTGCTGAGATATCAATGATCAAAAACAAAAAAATCCATTTTCATTAAAAGTCAAATATCTCAGCGACAAATTGACGTAAAGAAAACATGACCATTTTTCATTGAGATGCAGTCTTTCAAAAATTACCAGAAAATTTAATTTAATAAAAAATGTTTGTTTCCTTAATTTTTTAGTATAGTGTATGAAAAGTTTATGTAGAAGAATGTTTTATCGTTCTGTATTGTATTTGAGATAATAATATTAATAATAGTTATTTTTTAAGAGTGTGTTAGGTAGCGTTTTATTTACGCAAGAATGTTCAATCGCGAGAACGTCAGTTCGAGCGGTTAATTTTCTTAAGAGGATAAAACGCGACTAACACACGACTGCAATATAACGTTTTATCCACAATCACAGGCCCAAATTATTCCAAACTTAATTAAAAATTAAACTGACATTTAAACGTCACGCCAAATGTGCTTTCAGTTAAACGTAAAGAGTAAGCTGTTACGCGGTGCGCTGGTTACTAACAGTGGAATAAAGTTACTTTATTTCACTAGTGGATAAAGTGGTACTTTATACGCATCTAAAGTGTGAAATAAAGTCTCTTTATAGAGTGATTGTGGATAAAAATCTTGTTTCGAGAATTTTTTTACTGAAAAACTTAATTTTGAATTAACTTGAAAATGGAAAAACAAAATAGGATAACGTAATATTTATTTGTACAACTAGTTTTGAAAGACATACTTTTTTTTCACGAATTTGCAGTTGATTAACGAGGGCTCTGCCCTGTACACAACATTTTTTTGCATAGTGATAACCCCAAGAACCCCAAAGACCAAAAAGATATCAATTTGATAAATCAAATCGTAATGCATCGCGAGCTCTATGTAACGAACACTACAGAAACTATAGAAATATAACTATCGAAATCGTTTAAAAAAGTATAACTTTCTATACGATTAATCGTGATGAAAATTCAACTTTTATAATCACTATGCAAAAAACGATGAATTTGATCCATTTTCTCGAAGGGGAAAATAGTGTAATGGAAAATTTAAGATATGTTTGATATTAAAAGTGATTTTAAAGAATGCAACGTTACTAAAGAAAGATTAGAATAAATACGAAACTCCAAATAAATATTATTAAGAATTATTATTATATTTTTTTACCCAGCACCCATTAATAAATATCAATGAGTGCATCCGCCCTTTTGCACCCATGTAGTCGGCGCCCGTGGTCTTCAGTTGACTTGAGTTGTATAGTCCTAAGGGTGGCTTTTTCATCGATCACGTATCGCACCAAATAATGAAAAACGTAAGTTAGAGCAATCATAAATCTGTCAGAGCCTGAATAGAGTTTAGCTGGGAGTTACCTTACAATGTTGGACCATTTCCCCATCTTACAACAAACTCCTTAAAGAAATCGGCTCAAAGTGTCCGATATACTGTAATCCGTGATAAACTCTTGTTATTCCAGCGTATAATAGACACCGTCAGTACGACCAGTTAGCACTTTTTCAGACTTTCACTATCTATAAATTCCTAATGAAGGATAAATTGATCCTCGAGCGGCATCTGCTACTTCCTAATTATTGGAATTTATTTATTTGCGACATCCGCTCAGATTCTGATTTACATCGGCTTAAAATGTGGCTAAAAATGCATAAACCTGGAGGGTTTTTTTAATTTTGGCGCTTTAAAGATAATAAACGTTATAAGTTAATCGGCTTACAAGAAAACAAGCGCTAGGAAATCTCTAGTATACACAATTTATCAGAAAGGGCGTAAACGTCGTCCGCTCACCCTCACTCAACTTTAACGACTTAATTCTATTACAGCATTAAAGCCAAAGATGAAGAGCCACTACCGGGGCCACAAGATGGCCGTTTGGTTGAATCTCATCCCGCAACTGCATCAACCAGGAGATGACGACGTCAGCATGAGACACCACCATTTCCACGAACGAGAGCCTCATTATTATGCCGGTATGTAATAAAAGACAAAAATTAAGTTTATTTTTGTCTGACTTGCACAATATTCCAAGCACCGATGCTCACGGTTTTTTTGTCATCTGAGTTTGCAGTTCTCGATGAAAAATTGCAGCATTTAACCCAAATAAATATCTCAAACACAAGTTTCACGTATTTAGAAACATAATACCTAGTGACTGAATTTAATTTTTTTTCACAATAAGATATTAACCAGAATTTAAACTTTTGACAAAAGCGAAGTTATAAAAGAGGATTACCTAAAATTTGATTTTTCTTAAAACCATTTTTTATAATTTTGATATACATATATTTACGATTTTTTTCTTTAATTAAACTTAAACGAAGCCACTTAAAAAATTTGATTACATAAAATCTAATTTGTGTTAGACTTCTTTATTGTTTTAAATTATGTTTTATACACTGTTTTTTTCCTTTTAATTTCTTTACGAGTAAATAGCAGTTTTATTAATTAATATTTTTACAACAACAAAATAACTCTTTATTTGCTTTAATTACTACGCAAGTAAACAAACAGTTTTTATTTATTGTAATTAGAACAAAGAAGGTGCAATAGACCAAGCAAAAGAAGAGTCTTAAAACAAATAATTTTATAAAAATGCAATTTTAAGTAAAATTAACATGCATTTCTCCTATATGGCGCAATACCTGAATAGAAAACCTTAACTTCAAAAAATCATATCTTGAAAACTACTACCGCGTAGTAAGAATTACCGATATTCTTTTGAAAATGTGGATTACAGCTAATAAAGAGATGCTCTACACGATGGTAATGATGAAAAAAAATTACTTGTGGGGTTTTTCTTAGATTATTTCGATTTATTTAGAACTTCTTGGAACACTGTTCGAAGAAAAGTTTGCCAAATTTTATATCATTCTAAAGGGCAAGGCCATCCCTTTAGAATGGTCTTTATTTGAAGGAAATCGGCTTAATAGTTGAGTAATGGTTTTTTAAAGTTAAAGTATTTTAAATTCATTTAAATTAGAAAAAAATTATTTTGTACAAAGTGTGTGAACTTTTTAATTTTTTTTTAGTGCATTTGATTGGTCTCACTGAGACGAACAAAATGATATAAAATTTGTCAAGTTGTCAGGACATGACTTTTTTTTTGTCGCCCTGTGTAAGTACATATTGGTATTATTGTCAAATTCTGTAAAACGAACCCTTAAATAAATTGTATACTTGATATGATTTATTGATTTTTTTTACTATTGAAGAGTTCATTGGATAAAATTGAAACAAAACGATGATCTTTTCTTTCACAATGATTACGTTACAAATTACGGTTTTAAGAAATAGCATTACATAAAACATTATCTTTTTAATTTTGTTCTATTCACGTTTTTTTAGTTAATGTCAGATGTCTTATATACTTGTATTAAATACTCTTGGAATTATGCAAAAACACAATCTGGAAACCATAAATAAGCTGTCCATTTGAATTAATTTATTATTATTATATTATTATTTTTTTTTACGAAATTGAAACAAAAGTTTATTGTTTAGAATATAATTAAAATATTGATTTTTCAAATTTGATGATGCTTTTATTCCACAATTATTTTGATTAAAAAGAGAATTATAAACAATTTATGTATATTTAATAATTTATTTATTTAATAATTTATTTGTAAAAGCTTTAGGAACGGTTGTAACACTACGAGTATTGCAAAATTACTTTGCTCCCCCAAAGCTTTTGTAAATTTTAAAATCTTAATATTAATAAAAATATTTTATTACTTTTTAGTAAGTCTCTTAAAAACTTGTTTTTGAAAACATTTTTTATATATTTTTATTCTTCATTTAACTAAAACAGAACAATTTAAAATAAATAACCTGCAAGAACGCAACCTGGAACCCCTAAATAAACCATTACTTGGCTTAATTACCTAATTAATTTATTTTTAATTAAGTGTTTGATGTAGAGAATCTAAATGAATTGTTGAAGCTGATACTGTTCCTTTTTTACAATCATCTTAACAAAAACAATTAAAATTATCTAAAATTTATTTTTCCCAAACATTTTTGTTTTGTTTGCCATTATTCTTCGTTAACTAAAACAGAACAATCCAAGATGAATAAACATCAAACACTCTTTTTGCAAATTGCAAATTCTGCAAGACCGCAACCTAGAAGCCTTAACCAAACATAAATTTATTCTTAGAATAATAAAACTGCGTCTTTTCTCTCGTGTCACCGCAAAAATGTATGCTTTCGATTTCCTTTTAATTTCGGCGCTGGTTATTGCTTTGCATACAATTTATCAAGTCGGTTTTTCATTGTAGGTTCTGTCAGAGCGGAATCATTCACTCGCTTACCGCCGCCCCTGCACCCGGCCTCAATGACAGATTCCCATATCGCAAACGGAGAGGGGACCGAATGTGTTCCCAACACTACAGCTGATGACCAACTCGTCGACGATGATGAATTGAACCTAAGTAAAAAACCCTTGCAAAATTGCGCCCCATTCACAGCCCTGTTCCAGGCGACGACGAGACCGGCGAGGAGCTCCTCCAGAAGCTGGCCACCAGACACTACTACAGCTACACAGCCGCTCTGGGAGTCACCGTCGGCGTGGGCTGTCTGCTCCTCCTCCTCAACATGCTGATTTTCGCCGGCATTTACTACCAAAGAGATCGCGATCGCCGAAGACAAAATCATGTCCGTTCCTCACGCTCGAATTCATCTCCATCAACAGAGACAATACCCATGTCACATCGGCCTTCCAGCCCCGACAATTCATCTCGCCAGTCGCCCATTATATGTAGGAAAGAGAAACAAGAACTGCCCCCTTCTTATAGCACAATTCCGAAGAGTCCATCTCGCACAGATGTGCCTTCCTCGAACACTTTGAAAAAGGAGAAACCACCGCCGCCGGTGAGGACGACGAGCAATTTGTCGGGAGGAACCGTCAAGAAAAGAGTACAGATTCAAGAGATATCGGTATAGCAATCACAGAATGAGGTTTGTTCCTCAATGAAACCGGACGTCACACCCGAACACGAAACGGTTAAACCGCCGTGTGATCTAGTTTCGTTTCAGTTATAACCGAAACTGAAATAATCGACAGTTTGAAAACTATAGAAAGCTATGTAATGAGGACTAATCTGATGTAAATATCTAATCTTCAATACTTGATCTTCGTTTTAAAGGTCTCTATTGTATAACTTAGAACGATTTAAAGGAAAATTACCGAAAATAATGATTGTAAAAGGTGTTCCTTACTGTTTACATTTTTTGTTACCTATATGAATTTCTGTTGAACACATGTACCAATGTTTTTGTACATACAGTCTTAGGAAAATTAAATAACGAGAACAATCCGAACTGGTTTTTCTACCCCATTTCTATTTTTAAAAGTTCTTGCCATCTATTACTGCGACTTACATCAGGCATTTATTTCCGTCCAGATCTCCTTTATCCTTTGAAAGCTTAATCCATTTTATCATCTTAATGAGAAAAAAAGTTGAAAAAATAGAGAACACTCACAAAGACGTTCCTTTATAACAGTCCTTTAGACATAAATAAAGACCTGCAACAATAACAAGGTATGAATCGTCTTTTCAAGCCTCGTGAGAAGTTGCATTTGACGGAATAAAAAAATATTCCTGTAAGTGTTTGACTGTAATGCAAACATAAAACAGCTATAAAAATTACTAAGCTAAATTTGCATTCATCACATTTGGCGAAGCAACCGCAATGCAGACAAACAGTATATTTCACTGCATGTACTGTAAATTGTCTCAATATCTTGTTGAAATGGATGTTTTGATGTCTAAATTTAAGGATAACGATAAAAAGAATTACCTAATTCAAGTAATCGATCTGTGCATAGGATGCAGACAATGCATTTTACTGTGTTAAGAATGAAAAAGTTAATGGTTTCGCCAACTCATTTACATAATATGTATGAAACGTATTTTTAAGAAAAAATGTACTTGCGTGTTTCCTATTAGTGGAATGAAAATATTTCCATACAAGAATAAAGTTGTTTTTTTCATTACATTATGCATGTATTTTTGGATAATTATTTCAAATTTATTTTTGTATTTTTTATCACAATTTTTAGAAAAATTTGAAATAAATAATAATTGATAGAAACAAGTGAGAAGTGGTGTATACGTACGACGAAATCTTCGGTTTTAATCAATCAAAAAACTTATCAACAGATAGACAGAGGTGTGAGAAAGAGAGATGTCTGTGACAGTGCTGTTATTTTATTGCCTTTTTAAAAACAATTAAACCAAATTTTACGGTAAGTTGCAATTTTACTTTACTCTTTTATTTACCTACCGGCCACTTTCAGATGTTTTTTTGCAAAAGTTGTTCAAAAATTTTAACAAAAAGTATGATGTGCTCTATGGGCCATACCGTTTGTTACGATTGTGGAAACCTTAAACGAGTGTGTCCATTATGTTTTGGGAAGATGCTTACAGAATTGAGAAACTTCATCATTGAGGAGCTGGTCTCTGAAATGTGGCCTGAAGTGTCCAAAGAAACCGAGGAAAAAACTATCCCACTTCCTGTGGTTCAAAACTCATTAATTAAATGTCCGGTACGGTACTGCCGGGAAAGAAGGTCGTTTGATGACATAGCAGAACATCTAAAAAGTCATCACCAAAACTCCATCATAAAATTGACTATGAGGCGAAACTGGACCACGATTTCATTAAGGAACATTGCATTTAAAACTATACATCAAGTCGTTTGCTTTCGTAAATGTTTTTTTCGCATTTTTATTAAAATCGACTTAAATCAGAGTAGTTGGATTGTAAATGTGACTAGAGTGAGTAGTTCTCTAGAAACATTTTATTTTTCTGTCAACAATCACTTAAATCGGCATCCTACATCATTATACAATGGTACTCTTTCAACAAATAAAAATAATAATATATGTGGACCGCTAAACAGGGCGACTTTAATGGTTTATCTTTTTAAGTCTTCTTAAATTTTAAATAATATTGTAATGCCGATTTGTGATTTACCATTGTTCATTTACCAGTTTTTGAGTCGTGTCTTTTATTGTATTTTTTATATAGTATTCAGGGTTATTCACGAATAATACTGGGTCTTACAAAAAATGAAACGCAACTAGTTATACATTGTCATCAGCTTCGTGGATCATTCATATTTATTTAAAAAAAGATTAAAACATAGTTGGTTCTGTTTTTTTTTATTTGTAAATTAACAAAAGATCAACTTTTTCGTCATTTGAATACATTTTAGATTTGATAGATGTCACGAAACGTCAACTGAAAATTGTCTTAATAAAAGCATTCTCGGATTCTTTAAAAAATAAAAAGATAAATTGGTATGTACTCGTTTGAGAAATATGTTTATTTGGTTGCGTCGGGCCCATTATTACTCGTGAATACCCCTGTATAATTATGTAATTTTAATTGTAATCATTATCAAAGTTTTAATAAATGTTTTTTTTTTACAATTTCACTGTTTAAACAAAATTAAATATGTATTTACTAAATATTTCACTAAACCCTAATTTATCACTTTCTTTATTTACAACGAAATAAAAACATTTTTAATACACTTCAAGAAATGGGGTGTATTATACAAGGTGCGCCAGAACTCGCGCCCCAGAGAAAATTTTCAAGTATGGGAAAAATCACGGGGGTTGACCGGTGCGTCATCTGACGTTTCTCCTTACCACCTGACGTTAGGTTCAATATCTACAACTTAGAAGTTGTTTATTGAAGAAAGTGTTGCTTTGTACGATTTTTTGCAAAGGCATTTAAAATTTAATGTAATAGATTGGAAATGACGTTCTACATGCAGTGTTTCCAATGTTTTTGGATGTTGTATCTAAAACTCGGAATTTTTCAGTATCAGTATAAAACCGATTTTCTAAAGAATAGTGGGTAAGTTGAGAAGAAAACGAATGCAAAATCGGTATTTCATAAATAAGAATCATCATAAACATAAGGAGTAATTTCTTACATAGAGTTTTTTTAAGGGTTTAAAACTATAGACGATCTTATGCAATCTTCCAAGTAAGAAAAAAGAAAAAGTTGAAATTCAAGACGTCTACAAAACAAAGTTGCATCTCACATCCTTCGAAAACAAACAATAAACGTTAAAAAGCTTTGATGGGGGCTAATTTTTATCGGTGACCCCTCATTATTTCAATTTTTTACACTAACACAAGTATATTTATGCCTGATTTCATGGAAGTTACTTAATCGTAAGGAATTATTAAAAGAAACCAATGAGACGCAGAACAAAAGCAAGAAATCAACCAATAAACGAAAAATACTTGCAAATTATACCAAAAAGACTTTCAACGACGACAATAATTTTACTGTCAATGTTAAATTGACAAATTCACTCGAACATGACATTTACGTGGTGTAGTTGAAGTACATATGTAAATTAATGTTCAAGGCTACCATCCTTAGAGACCCTTTAATTGTTTCAGTTTACATTGTGATAGAATTTTTTATTTCACTTTTAAGTTGGTAATGAAAAAATGTAATTGATGACGCACCGGTCTACCCTCCTGATTTTTACTATAAGGTAAGATACCAGGAATATGAAAAAAATGTTTAAAAAATTCTATCTGTCAAGAAATTTTGACATTTATTTTTTGACATTTGACATTTTTTTATTATATCTATTTAATTATACTGATGATCTTGTATATGTTTTTTTACTGTTATTTAGTAAAGGGACAAAAATTTTGCCAATAAAAGCCACAAATAACATTGGACAGAGTTACAATTTAGGGTACAGCTTCCTTATTTCCTCTTTTAATAGCTTATAGCAAAAAAACTTGTAAAATTATTTTTACAACAGAAATAAATACAGTCAAAGTGCAAACTTTAAAAGGCTTTAAAGTTTATGAGGCCATAACTTCGAAATTTTTATAGATAAAATTTTTTTAACATTTTTTCCATGTTCCTGGTATCTTACCTTATATGGCATTTTTCTCTGGGGCGCAAGTTCTGGCGTATCCTGTATATAAAGTTGTTTGCAAATATTTTTTTTCTATTATTTCTGGACACTGCTTGGCTAGTGTTACAAGCTACTTGTATCACAATAATATAGGGTGTTTGTAAAACAGTTTTTTAATATACCGTATAGTAAATCTAGAAATATTTCAATACAGAGTGAGACTGGGAACTAGTCTCATTCAATTGATACCGTCAATTTATGTAGTTATTATTATGTCTTATGTCATACTTCATTTTTATTATTATTTTCGATTATAGTTTTTTATTTTATAAATCAGTCATTTTCGCACACATGTTCATGTTTATTCTAGAGTTCCTATATTAGAAGAGTTGGGACACTGAATGTCAGTTTTCCAATTTTTCTTTTATATACGTCGGCTGACGTATAATAACAATAAAATTGGATACAAATCATTGGCGTTTCGGTAAAATTTAACAAAAAGTAAAATTAATTTGTCAAATAAAAATTGACCTCTGTCCTCTGTCATTATGACCACTTCTGCTGGGTCCTATTGTGTTAATACATAAAGAAACTTTGAGTTGATTTCAGTGCCACGTTGCTCCAATGCACGAGACAGTGTAGGACAAGTGGAACCTCTTTAAATCTAGCCAACTGGAGTGTGGGCCTCAAAACTAAAATTTATCAAAATCATAGGTGAAGCTTTCACATGATCAAGGACTATTATTCCGTTGTTTGGAGTGTTTTATTTTATCTACGTCAGGTCAGGTCAAGTCTAATAATTTCGTAAGTTTCAGGTTTTAAAACGTTTTCTGGAGACACTATCAAGTTTTTATTACTCATGGTAAATGCTGTAAACAGCAACTGTGTACACATATTTTTTTTCTGTCTGGCCGCATCTCAATGTCCATTTATCTCCTACGTCCCTGACCAAATCTGACGTAAAATTATGTCAATTTGTCAATGAGACAAAATTTATAACCCTAAAATAATTTTTGAAATAAACTTGACATTAGTTGCTACGAAAAATTTTAATGAAAAAGGATAGAACGTGTATACCTTATCCACATAATACAAAATTGGCTCGGTTTGACGTTCAGTGTCCCAACTCTTCAAATATAGGACCTCTAGTTTATTCCACATTGACAGTATCAAGAAACTAAGCAATTGTTGCATAAATGTCATCATCGTTTTCAATTTATCACGACCACCTTGTACAAAATTCATTGTAACTCTTTGCTAAGCTCTATCTCTTTAACGGATAAAGGTAGAAAAAACTTATTCAAACTTTCTTTCTTAGAACGACATTTTCTACAACTGGTTGATGTATGGTGGTTTGCTTTGGGACAACACCAGGGGCGGACTAGCCAGGGGTGCCGCAGCACCCCGGGCCCTCGGGTCTTACCAGCCCCCAATTATGGTAGGCTTATTATGTCAAGAGCTCATTGAAATAATATCAATTATTTTAAATTTGTAAATAAACTTTCCACAATGCATAGAGCTAATCCAAGATAAGTGTGTTTAGTTTGAAGGAATTAAAAAATTGCCATCATAACAAATAAAAGTATAATTTCTATAATTTCAATTATTTTAACTCAATGTTTATAAGGTCTTACACGCATGTAAAAAAAATTCCGTCCGCGCAGATTTATACAAGTGATTCAAAAATTTGTGTCATAATTTTAATCACGAATACTCCTCTACAAATGAGCATAGATAACACAGTAATCCAACTCATCAAGCAATAGAAAAATTACAGCTTTTATAATCATCAAGAAATAATAGTAGATTATGTTATTAGGAGTAAAAGTGATTGTTTATGTGACGAAGCTGAACGTTCATTTTTCCGAACGGAGTGAGGCAAATGGATTCAGCTGAGCCACATAAACTCACTTTTACTCCAAATAACATATACTATTTTATCTGCAAACGATTCAGATGGAACGAAAAGAGCAACACACCAATAATCAAGTAAATCACCTCAATAATCAGGACGCTTTGCAATAAAATCGTAACAAACGTCACGCGTCAGTTTCGGAATTTGTGTTGAGATTTCGAAAGTGTTGATTGATTTAACTGGTGAATAACTGGTGTAGTTTATAGTGCAATATGTCGAATGCTGATAATCTACCTTGTACCTCTCCAGAAAATGCTGAAAAAGCGAAAGAGACAAGAAAGAGACAACAGTGATAAATGTCAAAGTAAGTGTCAAGTAAAAGTAAAAACGCCTAGGCGTAAAAACAGTGTTTTTACTCCATGTCTGAAAAGTAAAACTTTTACCTGTGTCATTTAGTCATAAAAGTGGTCACTTTTGTGACGTTTGCAGATAAACAAATGTTCCTTTGGATTTAATGAAATTTACATTAAATATGACAGCATTGACAGCGATGTGATTCGTAGTGGATTCTTTCCAAGGTACGCTCAAAATTTATAAATTCTGATTTTGTAGCGCGGTGTAGAATTTACTTTAAACTCAAATAACTCGACAACGGTACATTTTGGCGATATGAAACTACCTTTCTTATAAAAAAATGTTTGGGCTGTATCAAAAACAGAAATTAATAAGCCGAAAAAAAGTTATGATCCCAACACTGGAAGGACCCATTGCTACCGAAAATGTATAGCTTCTACAAGAGTTCCGTTTACACCAAATCAAAGAGTGTCTCTTTGTCTATGCAAAATTTAATAATAATCGTATAACAAAAATATTTCCAGAAAATCATTTTTTCATAACGCTTTTGGAAAGTTGTAATTTTTCTATTTTTTGAGTTGGGTCAATAAATACTGTACTATCTATTCTCAGTTGTAGAGGGGTGTTTGTAATTAAAATTATGCCACACATTTTTTAGTCAACCAATATAAAATATCGTTTTTACTTAAATGAATTTAATTTTAATTTTTTATTTTTTTTATTAGGTATTATTAGTGGGCATAAATAAATGGAAAAAGCGAAATATAAGTATAAATTTGTTGCACAGAAACGAAAAGAAAAACAAAAATTAAAATTACAAGCAGCCTCTGAAGAAGTTCATCTAAAAACTTTTTAGATTTTTTTTTCGGTTATTAAACCATCACGATTTTAACTGACGTCACAATCTCAATAGAGTAAACAAACTCTTTCATAAAAAAATACTACATTAAGTGACAAGTAGTTTTTATACATATTTTTATAGTATTGTATATTGGGCCCTCATTTCAACTTTTAGCACTCCATATAAAAATTTACCAGTCCGCCCCTGGACAACACGTACATAGTAAAAAACAATCAAAACAACCAAATATGACATAAAAATGCTTAGATCGTATACAACATAGCCACAGTATTTTCTGTATAACTTTTTTTTTGCTCGGTGTATAAGCAATAAATGATCCTTCTATAATGTTTCTATATCCAGTGTGTCCTCGGAGAGGTGAAACGACTTTTGTAAAAGATAACATAATTTTAGTTTTGAAAAATTAAGATGCCTTGGAAATTTAAAAAAAAACTATTTTTCTATAAAGTGTCTTTTATGTTGCAAATATGACAAAGATAAACACTATTTTTTAAAGTTTTCCAAGACATTGATTTTTCAAAACTAAAATTCTGTTAGAAATTAGTCTTTAACCAAACAAGGCTGCAACCCAAAAAATGAAAATTTAAATCGAGAAATTTTTATCTTTTACAAGTGTCGTTTCCTATCCAGCGACACGCTGTATATCAACTTTTGCAACTGTCACGGTAACTGTAAACTGTAACGGTCAATTCCTGTTGTTATGAATAATGTTACCTACAGTTAAAATTAAAATACAGTGTTACCAAGCAACTTTTGCAGGGGCACCTAGCACTCGCTGGTGTAACTATAGATAAACAGGATTCTGTAACTGGAAGTCGAGTTACAAACCATATCTTTTACAACGCCTTACTTCTGTCATTTTAGTTCGTGCTATTGCAACTAGGACGCCACTTTTCGACATCCTCTGCGCATATACAGAACGACGTAAACAAAAATCAATAAACATGGTGGTAAATGTGTAAGTGTGTTCACGGTTTCTAATATGTTTTTATAAAAAACGGTAAGTAAAACCGGCAGATTTTAAATAAATCGGTGTTATTTTTCAGAACATGTCCACTAGTTTATTTTTACGAAGAAATTGCAGTATGTTATTTCATAATTTTCAAAAAAAAATGTTGACATATACCAACATGACAGCCGCATGTGGGCGTAAATCTGTCAAAATTCAATTCTTTTTTACTTAATTACATTGAAAGTTCATTCGTTCAATGTAAAAGAAGTAATGAGCAGACATTCAGAATGCAGTTGTACTGTTTGTTCTCAATTTAATTTTATGCAGAATTGTAGAACCTTCCGGCTGTTTTTACAACAATCTGTTTGCATATGTGAGTTATACTTTATTACCATTAATAATGGTTAAATTGCCGTAAAAAAGACGCTTCTTGAAAAAGATATATGGTTATTCATTTTATGCATATTCTGTGTTTCTCAGAAGCCTTTAACACGGAAATTCACATTGTGCAAGTGAAAATGATAGTAATAATAATATATTTTTTATTAGTTTTAAATTAATTTAAATCCCAATTAAAGTCGCCTTATAATAAATAAGCAAAAAGAAATTATGTTATGCTTAATAGATGGAAAATTACAACTCCCAAGTGACACATTGATATTACTAACACAAACGACATTCACACGTCAGTATATAAAACAAATATACAGGTTTAAAAATGTATTAATTGCATTACTTTTTTGTCAATTTTGTAGTTCTTAAAAATTTGTTTTTTTGTTTGTAAAAGTTTTTAATAATTTTTACCATCAAATGAGAACATTATACATTTAAAAACCACTGTATAGGAAGTTAATTTGAATGGTCTACAGCCAGTAATAAATTTTTCATTGTTAGTCTTCTAAACAAACACAATAATGATATTTTCATTCTTATTTAACAAACCTAATTTACTGATATTAAGTGCATAATATTGCAGTGAATCACGTGCACATGACAGTTTTTCACTATGCAGCTTATGATACAGTCCGTTACTAAACAACTGTTGATCTCATAACAATGTTGCCAACATTTAAATGATGAAAATCATCCAGCGACAAATTATCATAAGTGAACAAACTATCCAAGAATAATTCTTTGAAATGCGCTTTTCAAAAATTCGCTCTTCTTATATGGGCGTGGCTGGTTTTGCTTTGAGGTAGTTTAAGTCATAATTAAATTCAGGGGATGAGTAAAATGTTTGTGTGATACGGATGATCTCATTAATTTATTTAAGTTGTAACATCTGTTTGATTTCTGGGTTAAGACTTTATTTTTATAAAACGGGGTGGATTTTAATAAATGTAAATTTTATCACAACATATTTTATTTTTGAAAAATTATTATGTAAATCAAGTATCTACATATTTAATCGTTTCTTTAATAAATAAATTTATAATTAGCCTTTATTTACTCGTGCTTTATTATCTCTGTTATTTTTCTCGTTCATCCTCACCTGCGGCAAGGCGTCTAATAAAAGAGTCTAACTAGTAAAGTGGTTTTTAATTAATCATTATTTATATCGTGTTCATTATTTTTACGCTACTTACTTCTTCTTTATAATATTTTTTAAATAATTTATTGCATTTGTCAACTTAAACTTGTGGTTTTGTCTCTTGAAATTGATAACTGCATTGCGCCTCTACAGATAATTTCTAATACTGATGACGTCAACATAAACTAAGATAAAAAAAATGTATTATACACAGTTTTTCTAATTTCTAAAATTGTTATATTCACCTATGATGAATACTGTTTACTTATACAGAACACTTAACATATTTATTTTTTGAACTAAGAGCTAAGTTCCTCTTTAGCAAATCGTTGTAAAGTGTTTAGACTCAAAATTGTGTAAACTACACAAAATATGGGCATGGGAATGAAAACGTTTTTGCTCGTATCTTAACTTTGCTTCTTATTAAATAAAAGTTTAATCCAATATAATGTTACAACTAAAAATTAATTGTTTTCCTAAACGAGGAGATAAATTCAGTTTTTGTCGTTTTGCTGGATTCCGAAACAGAGAAGTAATTAATTAATGCAAAACCCAGCAGCAACCTTTTTATAATTACTTACACATGTTTTACCAAATGAGATGGCATCATCAGGATGATAATAAATGATAAAAGCATTGCCAAATTCTACTGATAACCTCTTTTGACATAATGTGTGGGTGAAAATGTCCATTGCTTTGACACATCTAGTCTTATTTTATCTCAACAAAAACAAATATCTTAGAATAAACCCGGCAAATTTTTTACAAGTTAGAATAATAAAGATTACATCCGTTCAAAGTACTATTTTAATATATTTGCGGGAAATATGTTTAGTCCGAATTGTGTAAAAGACATTGATAAAATGTAATTAATTATGATTTACAGGAATTGAAACATTTTGTTTATTTCCTATCAATTAAATAATTTTATTACATTGATACACATATTATTCATATCAGTTTCTCGAAGAAGGTCAAACAAGTTATTTTTCACGTCTTCTTTATTTATCAACATATTGTATTGACGCTTTCGCTTTATTTGTTTATTTGATATTTTTATATGTATGTCTTTTTACTTTTTTGTAATAAATAATGAATAAAAAGTTTTAATGACCGCAGTATTACGGGTATGTTTTCTTCGAACGTCATGGTGAAATCCTAGATACGTTTTCCACTAGATTTAGTAAGCAATTTACATATGACATACTTTTCTTTTGATCGGAACTCTATATCGCACGAAAATAAATATTTCGAGGTCTTAATTTATTAGCCTCGTTAATACAGAGAAAATTAATGATAAATCGGTTTATGGGCATAAATGACACAATTTTCCAAGTCCGCTGATACAAAAATTCAAATTCAAATAACTTAATTACAAAAGAAACAATTAAAAGATTGTTGACCAGGCAGGTTATTTCCATTACTCAATTCTAATTTGTTAATCAAAGCGGTGTTTTTTATTGGTTTCCAAGTCCGTAAAATTGTTATGCATGTCTATTGACAATAATGTCACATTAATTTATTTGAATCACCCGATATAATATTTTTATGCATTTATCGTATACCTGCGTCTATTAAATAAATCGTTACATTAATGTGACAGTTTTTACAGCAAGAGAAAGTCCAGTTATCTTTTATTTGCAGTAAAAATTAGTTGATAAGTCGTCGCTGGGTGAAAAATTTCACTAACGTTCATTACATCTATTTCCAATTTAAAAATGAGAGAAAATGTTGTTTCAGGTTTATCAACATAAGACTATCTAAAAAAACGAATGGTGAAGGTAAAAGACGGGCCGATGGCAGAGGCTAAGCCTGCAACAACAGCAACAACAACAACACAATCGTCGACAATTAATAACAATAACACAACTAACAGCAACAGTACAACATATACCCATATTCGTAAACCGCGCAATCACAATCATACCCATCATATTCACCCATTACACCATTACACCTATTTACACCATCACTGTACTCATCCAAGTGACAACGCAGAAACCAATGGATCCAATGGAGCTGGATCTCCGGCAAAATTTCATTTCGGGCCTGGATTTGAGCCACAAATTTCCGGTGGCAATTATTGTCCAGGACCGAGCCAAAGTCAGAACAATTCCGAATACGTCGTGCTGTTCCACGTCAATCCTGGTGTTACCATTAGGTTCCAGATGGGGGATAGTTTCGAAGTCCTGCAAGGTAAGAGTTCAAATAATTTGGAAATTAACCCTCATTTTACTATTATCGTAGACGAGGTTTGTTTTGATAACTATGTCATTGTTGTTGTTCATTTCGGTGGAAAATTGTATTTGTTTCAAAATATGGAGTGTTTTGATTGTTCAATATCTAGTAATTGCACCATAAATAGCGGAATGTAAACATATCTACATTTATCTATTAATTAAAAACATCAAATAATTGTTACATTGTCACAGTGCAACCAAAATCAAGTGCTTCACTCGGATTTTCCAAACTCAACATAGAGCACTCCCACACCAAATGTACTTCCAATATACATATTTATATTCAAAAAAAGTCCAAAAGGCATTTTTAAATAGACAAATAAAAAGTAAAAACACAATGTGTTAAAGAAAGTTTTTCTATTTTGCGTTTGAAACAAAGCTTATTTGGATACCAAAACCGATGCTTTAATGAATCATTTCAACACCAATTTGGTGGCTGAAATAGACTAGTACAATTTACTTTCTAGAGGTTGGTGATGGTGATTTTCAGCGGCATAATGTGCGATTTTTTTTTTCAGGTGGTGTGCATGAAATATCTGCAGTATTCATTGTTAATTCAACAAAACTTGAAAAATATTCCCGACTTCACACTTCGAAAATGGAATTTTTCAAACTTTGTGACATTTGTTACCCACCACAACCTTACTAGAGCAAAAGTTCCTAAATTTTGAAAAACTGATTTTTATGTTAAAAAAGTGCATAAAACGCGCAAAATAGAAAAAAATAGCATAAAAAACTCGTTTCATAAGTGATTTGTGGGAACTCGTTCTTTATAAAACTCGCCCTTCGCTGCTCGTTTTTTAAATCTGAACTCGTCTCACAAAACTTGCCCTACGAAACGCGATCTTTAATATGTGTTATTTTGCATTTTTGAAACATAATTTTTATACATAATTTTTTTGTTTCAGGTGAGCCCCAATTCCATTATATTGAAAAGCATCTCCAAAGTGAGTAACATACATTTTTTTATATTTATAAATGCTTGTGGCAAATTGTTTAAATAAATGTAAATTAAATGGTAACAACTATGTGCAACATTATCTAGAACAGAAATTAGTGCCGTGTTTCACCACGTGATTAAAAACTCTTAACGTAACTCATCAATAGAGATTTAGATTCGCTGGTCTAATTTTATAACGTCTACATATTTTAGCTAATTGGAGTTAAAATAGCTTACATTCATTCTTTGGCGACTGCACATACTTTTACACTCATCGAGTAATTAGTTATGTTCTTGTATATTTCTTTAATTATAGCCTAGAGAACACCTTATCTACGAAATGTTTATTACTTTGTTTTCAAAAATAATTCGGTGTACAGTGACCGACTGAATCAATGTCGTATCACATTATCTCGGTCGACGGTTGTACCTACCATTTTTTTCTCTGAGAAACATTGTGGGATTTTAGTGGCTTTATGAAATTAATAAGGTGCATTACAGCGTTACATTTACTTTTTACCTTCATTATTGCGAAATGGAGGTAATGGAATCTGGCGACGAAAGTTCGATGTTCTAATTTAGTTTTCTCGCTTTTGAAGGCCTTTAGTTTTACATTAAATGAGACCTCAAGGAACGTTTTGCAAAAATTTTATTGGCTTATTAAAATTTAAGTTAGAACACCAGTTAATGTTAATTTCCAAGTACACAATTTAGAGAATTATAGGTTTTTTAAGTGTCAATGCATTCCTGTAAAATTTATGGAAATGGATTCAAAAGCTCTCCGTTAAAGAATAATGTGTATGTTTGACACGTATAATTGAGTAAAAATTGAAAAAAAAAATCGAAAACGGTTATTTAAACTATCGATTCCGCGTTTCTGGAATACAAATTTTAATAAAATAATTTTTAATATTAAATGTAACAAAGAAAAACTGTTTCAACCCGCAATCTGAAATTTTAAAATATTGCAATTCCTAGTCCGATTTTTGGCGATTAAAGTTCATTAACGCTGTACAAACTACAAACTTTAATGTCTGACTCACACAACATGCGTAGTCGTAGAATTCAAAGTAATAATACGAGTTAACATTGGACATTTTTATTTGGTAAAAGAATTACACATTACTCGAGAAAGGAAGTTCATTGAGGGCTTTAAACCAAATACTTCTGCCATTTAAGTAACAATACATACTCTCCAGCATAATTGTAAGAATTTCTTTTAAGTATATTTCTGTTCATTGACTATTTAAAAAACCACCGTGACGATCTTCAAGGCTGGTTGTTTTTGTCGCTTTTGCAAGTGAATTTTAAAAAATACATAATTTTTGGTCGAGTTACTAGCCCGCCCGTTCCATGAATGATCGTGCAAATGACTTCCTCATAAACTATCATGTTTTGCATTGTCTAAATTATTCCATTACTTCAACGAAATGAAGAAAATAATATAAAGGAAATGTGCATTACTTAATTTTGCATGTAAAACTAAGACTCGTAAAAAGTTTATGATACTTTAAAACAATGAATATTTTTTAAAATATTAAATGAAACTGTTTGCACGTCTTGTCTTTATGGGTTGTGCTGGATTATTTATTGCAATGTTTTTAAATGGAAATGGTTTATTTATGACAGCATGTTACATTTTTGGGTTTTCCCAAGTCCTACAAAATTTAAAAACTTTGACATTTCGTTTTCTACAATCAGGAAGATTGTGGTTGGAAGAGTTTGGTTTTGTAAATATTTAAGTAAATTAATAAACTAAACTAAGTTAAAATTATTTTGTAGCCATATTTTTACTTTTTCTACCCTATTTGAAGAAATATAGTGGGTGTTTCCAACTCATCCTACTCTTTGCATCCCAATTGTTCTGTTTAGTCATCTTCTATTTGGCGAAAACGTTTTCTTCTTACTCATTGTAATAACAGTTATTCGTTTTGACCTAACGAAAATTTGTATGATTTGCATGACTAGATACGAATTATGTCGATGTAGAAAAATTCACAGAAAAAATGGCAATAAATTATATAAAAAATAATTGTGTATTGTATTTAAATAGATATTACTGTTCACTACTCTGTATGTTATTATACAAAAATAACGAAACACCTACTTCTTCTGTTAGAACTAAAACGTGTACAGACTGCTTCTACTAAGCATTTTGCGGTAAATTACTTTTAATTAATGTAAAAACTAGATAGAACAAAACATTTCGGCTTCAAAAGGTAATGAAATAAACGTATTTGTACAAACAG